TGACTTAATTTAAACTCATCTGAATGGACTTGAACCTGTGATTAGTGATAATCTGCCAACAAAGTTTAGCTGAACTGTGTGTTTTCACATTAACATTATATGTAGATCTTTGTGACATATAATGGATTTAAAGTCTGACATTTTTGGAATCATTGTATGTGGTCCAACACCGCTTATGACGCATAAACAAGTCTATATAAAGCTTTATGTATCATCTATTATTAATCTATTTAACATTTTGCATTTATTCATTTAGCTGACGCTTTTATCCAAAGACGCTTTTATCCAAATAGACGCTTTCATCGGACGCGTTGCCAAGGTGACGCTCCCGGCCCGAAGTAAACTTCTGTTCTGTTTGTTTATCACTGGGAGTTTACTGGCTAATATGGTGAGTGATATTCAGTACAGTGTTTCCCATACATTCATTTATTTGTGGCAGCCCACTACATTATCAGTGCTAACTGCCACATTTTTTTTTACTATTTAAGATGGGAAAACTTGTATTTGATTGCAGAGCTGCACGCAGAGCATATTCGCTCAGCACCTCCTCTCACTCGCTCCCTCTCTCTCCCCCTCTGTCTTTCTTTCCCCCAAACACATTGACAGCGGACCAGTCTGTGTATTGAATGGTTAGTATCATGAACACCGCTGCACAAATCTGTCCAACATCAATGTCAGAGACCCCCCCCGCTGCGCTTGCCACAGTTACGCTGTCATTCTATGGGAAACACTGCGGTAAATCAGACAGGTCGGTAGAAAAACATTCTTGTCTCAAATCTTTGTTCAACCGGGTCTGGTAGTGTGACCTTATCACATTTCAGTTTGGACAAGTAACTTTTCTTTTCTTCGACGTTATGGATTGCTTGCGGAAGTCTGCCGGAAGTTAAGTTTGGGCCAGAATAATGCACATGCGCAGTACCGTTTGTTTATGTATATATGTTATATGTTATAGTTGAAAGCATCTATATGTCAGAGGTCGCACACCTCTGGAGCAACTAGAGGTTAAGTGTCTTGCTCAGGGACACATTGATGTCTCACAGTGGATTCAAACCCAGGTCTCTCATACCAAAGGCATGTGTCTTATCCACTGTTCCATCACCACCCCAAATCATCTGTGTGTTTTCTTTCCAGGGCTGTTCCCGGCTGTGTTGAACCTGGCGTCAATGGCAGATATAACGGCTAATGCTACATGTGGTTCAATGGGTCCAGAGATGTTCTGTAAGCTGGTGGAACATGTACCCGGCCAGCCAGTTAGAAACCCTCAGTGTCGAATCTGCAACCAAAAAAGCACAAAACCATTTGGTAAGAAAGATTCACACACATGCTCACATGCTCACACACACACACACACACACACACACACACACACACACACAAGACTTATAGGCATGATAATTACAATAATTAATCATGCAAGATTAGTTCATTAGACCCTGATTGACCAGATGTTAACCAATCATTTTGTCTGAAATGATAATCACGGGATAAAATGAGGAATCAATCGTAAAATGACAAGATGACAACACAAAATTAGCCAGCGGTCATAATTCAAACTGCCAACTAGACAGTCAGTTCTTTAGTCAATCAGTGATGCAGTTAAATGCTCAGCCAGCGATATAATCAACCAATCAGTTAGTCAGTGAAATAGTAACCAGTCATTAGTCAGCCACCCAGTCAGCTAATGAGTCCAAAAACTTTTGCTACTTGCTTAGCTAGACTTAGTTAACTCACAAGTCAGGCAGTTAGTCAACCAGGATGACAGAAAAAAGGATAAAATGTACTACTGCAAAAAGGGAATGAGAAAGTAGAGAAGGAGAAGATTGAAAAGACTGAAAGAAAGATGAACTCAGATGAAATGGTCATTTTAAAAAACTTCTATCTCCATCAATACTTAGGCCTAATATTGATTTAATTTAAGTGATCAGTTGGATGACAGACTTGCTCACTGTTAAAGGAACACTTCCACATTTTGGAAAATCTGCTTATTCGTGTTCTTGTGTGGCGTTGCCAGGTCATTTTTCCAGGTCTTTTGACCCAGATATTTTGACTGCAGCCCCGAATTTAAATCAACGCCGTAAAGTATTGAGAGAATAACATGACAGACCTGACCACGACACAGACACCTGTCGCTGTCGTTGCTGTCTCTGTCCTCCTCCCTCAGAGACACCTCTGCTCTGTTTGGGACGGTCTCTGTGGATCAGGATGCTTAATTCCCTCTGAAGCGAGTAAGCTGAAGTTTACATTTGTGTGAGATTTATTTTTGATCACGATGTTTTAAGTTTTGGTTTTCTATCTCTGATGAAGAGCAGCGCGCTCATCTCATCCAGGACAGTCCCAGATGGGCTTTGTGTCAGACGGTCTAAAGGGGGTAGCAGCCTACTACCATATCAGCAGGGCAATATAGCAGGGTAATACACAGCAGAGGGGCAGGTAGATTTTGTTAAAATATTATTCTCATTAGATTGCGATTTTATTCTAGTAATATTATGACTTGTCTCAAAATTATTCTGCAAAGGTCAGCGAACACAGATATGTGGGAGAGATTCTGAATGTGCAGAAAGTTTTGAACATGTGCAGAAAACCTGCTGAAACACAGGAGCTATTAAAGTCCAGGATGTTATGGGTGGTGTGGTGTGGGGACAGAGTGGACCCAAATGCAACGTTCAGCTTGACAGGTTTTATTGGGAAAAGGGGGTGAGGGACTGGAGTCGAGGGAGAGGTGGATGCCGGGGAAACACAGGCACGGGGAACCGAGGAGACTGGGACCAGAGGGCCGGGGAACACCGGGGCCAAGGAAGCGAGGGAGAACAGGGAGGATGCCGTGGGGGAAGTCCGAGGAGCAGAGGACCGGAGGGTGAGCCCAGTCGACTGAACGGAGGACGAGAGTTAGTGAACCTGGGAGGAAAGCAGACAAAGAGACAGGGTTAGTGACAGAGACGACAAAGCATGGGGAGATCAAAAAACATGAGAGCCTGAATGCAGAGGTGGCAGCGGGTATGGAGCAACGACGCTCAAGCAAGAATGGTGTGGAGAACCAGGGTTGAAATACAGGCAGGGATGAGGTTGACTACTGGCAGGTGTGGCAGGCTGACGAGGTGGCTGATGAGGTGCAGGTGCAGGTTGTAGGCTGGGCTCAGGAGCAGAGGGAGAGAGAGCACACACAGGGGAGGAGACACAGGGAGGCAGGCAGAATAACAGATGAAAAGTAGAAAAAAACAGGACACTCACCGTCAGCTGGGCTGCCACCACAACACAGGTGTTTCAAACTGAATTAAAATTAATTAATTTATCATCAAGATGCCACATGCACATTTAAAGACTTTACTTCAGTCATTCCTGCATGTGTGCTGACTCAGCGGCGATGAAATTAAATGAGAAAAGTTGATCTACAGGAGAAACAAATCTGACAGCAATACAGAATGAGACCCAATGCACCTCACAACATTATATTACACTATATTTTTATATTCTGAATTGTCACCAGGATCACCTGAATTATGTTCTTCCTTTTATATAAATAAAGACATTTCCTCAATAAATTGTTGCAGAAAAATTCATAATGCAGGAAATGAAGTGTTTCAAGCTCAAATTTTTCAGGGGGAGTTGTTAACTCTTCACTTTTTGCACAAATTAATGAAACACTGTAAAACATGTTTAGTAGCAAGCCCCAGAGGTGGTAGTTGGTGGATTGTTTTACTAGACTAGCTATTTCCAGCCTTTATGCTAAACTAAGCTAACAGCTATAGACCCAGCTTCATATTTATGAACAGACATAAGATTTTATATATCTCATCATCTAACGTTCGGGAAGATGAATATTTCCCAAAATGTTAAACTATTACTTTACAAATTACGTACCCGTTTAACGACTGATTTCTGGCTGACAGACTATTGAAAGATTTTATTTTATTTTACAGGATTTCAGTATTTTGGACATCCTTTATTTATTGCTATGTGAGAAATCCAGATTCTGTTTTTTTCTCAGCCTAAGACTCAAAAAGAGGGGAGAGGAAGCTGCCGTTATATGAGGAGGAGAGAAAAGAATTTTAGGATATATAGCTCCTTCATTTTGCTAGGGATAGTTGCCATGGTGTTTAACAGAAATGTCACACATAGGTAGCCTGGTGATAGGCAGCTGCAAGTCAACACGAAACATCACATCTTCACTTAAAAATACTCTCTCACACACATGTAAGCACCCAAACAATACTGCACACACAGCGTACATGAAAGCTCTGCAATGCATAGTCACCTCTGGTGTATAATAAACTAATAATGCATCTCATCTGCCTGTTCCACTAAATCTGAGGTTGTGTGCAGTAGGAACAGCAGCTACGAGTAGAGTCTGGGTTACATTTTTTTTTGATTCAGAAGTGAAATAAAGTCATCAGAAATGGAAAGGAAATCTATTATTCTTTCTTTTACAAGGCAGAAAAAATGTGCTTTTGATATCTGGCCTTGAATAGTTGAAATGCCAGAATTGTAGAAAATGAGCGGAGAGGAACATTTCCCCTTAGAACAATGCTGGATTCAAGACTAAAATGATTTTTTTATATTTCAGTAGAATAAAAACAACTCATGTGCCCCCTCTCTTTCTCTCATGCTGTCTTTGTGTCCCTATTTCTGTGTGTGTTTGTGTACAGAGAAGCATCCCATTGAATATGCCATAGACGGGACCAATCGTTGGTGGCAAAGTCCCTCTATCAAGAATGGAATGGAGTACCACTATGTGACTATCACACTGGACTTGAAACAGGTACACACACACACACACACACACACACGCAAACTTGTAATAACATACTTGTAAGGCTATTTTATTGACTTACACATGCATTCCCTGGAGACTTACCCCAACCTTACAACTGATACGCCACTCAAAATTTGTCTTTTGAGGTGTTAAACATTTACTCCCTGTAGCATTGAAAGGTGGCTGTATAAAGTCCTTCTTCACAAATAACGACAGCTGTGGTCAGCCTGGATTTATGTTGGTTGCAAAGGATTTTAATGGTGACTGGTCATAATTGGAATCCACTGTGACCGCCATGAATCAAACCTGACCACAGCCTCTATTCTCAGCAAAGAGGCAAACTACAAACCTTTCTCTACATTTATCAAGGTTTAACAGCATCAAAAACATTAAACACTTAGGTTTAGTTGCTGTGCAGTTTTAGGCTGTGTATTAAACACATTGAAAAGGAGAGAGTTGCTACAGCACTATTAGGAAAACTGGTCCCACAGTTTAGTCTGCATACTGTTGGTTGAGTGTGGCGCAGTCTACAGTGTTGGTGTGTTTTCATTCATGGGAATAATAACAAAATAAGCTTTTACAAGAGATAGATTTGAGCTCTGGTAACTTGTGATGTGCTGGAATTAGTCAATCCAACTTTACTATTAATCACTGAAAAAGCATGCGTGTCACTCTTTAAATAATTGGGTTTCCATTTTTGATTTGGAAAGCTTGGCAAGACTCTAAGTGATTGAGAGGCTGTGTACTGGCATGCGATGATTTAGGACATCTAGTTTAGTTCCCAAGTGTGATTAAACAGATTAGACCGCCAGATTATAATGATTTAGATGTCATGAGTGTAAAACTAATGAGCCTGACAGACTTTAGTTCATGAGAAGTCCTCCTGTTCATTAAGAGGAGCCCATCCAAAGGTTAAAAACACATTCAATGTAGATTAATAATAAAAAAGCCAATATGCTAGACAAAAATGTCATGATATAACACAGACAACAAAGAAACAAGAATCAATGAAACAAAAACCTGAAGTAATACAAATTAGTAATAACTATTGCCGCACACTAGAAGATAACTGGGATGATTTTGGGTCTGATTTGCCCCTCCTGACATTCGCAGGGGTGTTACCGATCCGAGGATGGTCAGAACAGATTATTGGCCCCAATTCTCCTATTGTGTGTAGGGTTTACAGACGTAATGTAGGGTCATCGTGAACATCAAATACATTTGATATTTCCAATTCAAAATCGGGGAGCCTCTGATTAGAAGCCCGCAACAGCCAATGATAGCAAGCTGACTGTGAAGTGTCACCAGCGTGTTGTGTATTTGCTCGTGATATATAAAATGTATATGTGCAAAACATAGTACACACAAGTGTAACCAGTTGACGATCACATGAGTTCAGGAAGGCTCCTGGCCCAGACTGTGTTTTTCCATCCTGCCTGAAAATCTGTGCAGACCAGCTGGCCCCCATCTTCAGTCACAGCTGTGTGAAGTTCCTTCCTGCTTCAAACGCTCCACAGTCATCCTGGTCCCCAAAAAACCCTCCATCTTTGGATTAAATGACTACAGGCTGCTGTGAAATCCTTCAGGTTTCTGGGTTCCATTATATCACAGGACCTAAAGTGGGAGCCCAACACTGACTCCATCATCAAGAAGGCCCAGCAGAGGATGTACTTCCTGCACCAGCTCAGGAAGCTCAACCTGCCTAAGTAACTGCTGATCCAATTTTACACAGCCATCATCCAAATAAATTCATTTATTTGGATGATGGCCACTCTAAAATCATTTAGTATAAACGCTAAGTGTGTGGTCCTCTGTCTTGACTGAATCATCTGGTGTGTTATATGGTGTGCTTATGGTTAAAATCTTAAATATTGGATAATTCTGTCTTAATGTCTGTGGTATCCAGACATTCCTTAAGATTTGATAATCCTCTACTGTGCACCAGGCCTTACTGTACATTTTTGTGAGTCTGGGTCAAGATCTTTGTCTCTCTCCCATCTTTTCTGTTTGTGTTCACAATGCACTGCAGAGATGCCTTAAATTTATCAAAAAGTAGAGAGTTACAAAAGGGATCTGGGGGAAATGGAAGATGAAAATGAAGATGGAACGGTAATGGACAAAGGAAGAGCCATACAGAGAAATGAAAACATAAGACCATGACAAAATAATAGACAGAAACAGGACATAAAGCCACAGTGCCGAGGGATGTACATTTTAGTTCATTAAAAAAACCTTTGAGGCTAACAAAGATGTGAATGGGTGAATGAGAGGTGAAAGCGCTTTAAATAAAAGTGCTATGTAAGTGCAGCCCATTTACCAGTTCATTATTGTTGTCCACCATTTTACAGACATTTCTTGCCACTAAATGAATATATGACTTCATATTACCTAAAAGCTAAAACCCAAACATTGCAGCCAATATTTTAACATTAAAAATGCCTCTCACTATCTCTCTACATTGTAGTGTTTGATCAAAACAAAATAGCATAGTTTTCAAACTCTCACATCCTAAAACAATTAAAATGACAAACCACAGTTCATAAAAACACAGTCAAAACAGCTCATTGGTAATCTGTGTTGGAAGATACAGAATGATTATGCTGCAGTCAGTGCAAGCGTGTTAGAGTAAACAAAACAAGACCAAAAATTATAAATAAACAAACAAAAGCTTTGAAGTCTGTGCTTGAGATTAATACTGAATTCAATTTAGAGGCGGAGAGATGGAGAACAAAAAAAATGTGAGAGGCAAAACTGAGGTGAGCTTTCACATACGTAGAATATAATTATATCTCTAGACAGGAAGTAGAGCAGCAGCCATCTTGACATGTTAATGGCTTCAGGCCCATCAATCACACCTTTCACCACTGTGGTGTGGCTGCAGAATATATACACCATTCCTGAATGGCCTCACAAACACAAACGCACGCACACACGCACATTCACACACATTTTCACACCTCTCACTGGAGTGGTATGGCCTGTGAATTCATCTGCCTGGTTACGCACCCACATACACACTTTCTCAGTCACTCACTTCTGACCTTAATATTAGCATGTGGAGCAGGAGACTGACATGTACACACACACACACACACACACACACACACACACACACACACACACACACACTATATACTTGCTCTTATCCACGGTCCTACTACACAAAACAAAACTGCACAAAAAATGAATGAAAACATTATTAGAACCACTGGCAGCTGGATAAGGAAAACACAGAGTGTGAAAGTGTAGAAAAAATCCTCCTCTTGGTCAATTTGTCACAAGCAGGTTCTTTAAAAGCTTTTTAAAACCAGTGGACTTTTTTTCCGTGACCATATAATGGCCATGTTTGACGTGTTCACAGCATTGTATTATGTTTATTTATTTCTGTGAAAAAGCTGTCGATCTTACTGTAAAGTAGTAATTGTTAAGATTTTCATTTGCTTAAATAAAATAAATTAAATTTTCTTATTGTCCATTGCTATATTGCCATGAAAAACAAATCATCAGTTTACAGACCTGACCTGTCACAAACCTCTCAAGAGAACAAACATATTAATATGAACAAATTTTGCTAACTTGGGGAATGCTCACTTTCTACAACACAATCTCTGATCTGCGCATCCACTACTGTACGGTTAAGGAAAGATTAAAGATTATAATGCATAAAAGTCTGATGCTCAAAATTTCCAAACCCCCTGACCTTGACACCTTTCTTTCTTTCTCCAAAATACGTTCCTGGTTAAGCGTTGTTTGTCTATGCTCTCTAGCACAACATATTTTTTGATCTGACATCCCTATTGGCAGGACGACATCATTTGTCTGTTTAAAAAAAACGTTACAAATCACTGATGAAAAAAAAGGTATGGTAAGGTATATTTTTGCCATTATTTCCTTAGTCCTGTGCTTTCGTGTTTTCCTGATCTGTGTACTTCTGTGTTTTTATCATTATGGTCTGTGTCTTAGTCCTTAGTCTTATATCTCCATGTTTTAGTGTAGTCTTGTCTCCTGTTTGGTCCCGTCTCGTTTTGTCCGTGCCCTGATTTTGCTGTCTTTCCATGTTTTATGTTTTACTTTGGTAGATCTATCTTTGTGTGTTCCTGTGAACTTTACTTCCTGTTTTATTTTGGTAATCTTCTGTACCTGGTGACCTTGTCTAGCTTTGTTTCTGTGGTTGATTACCTGATGTTTTTCAGCTGTGCTTCCTCCCTGTTTGTTTACCAGTGTATATATTGTCCTCAGTCGTCTTCAGTCTTTGTCACGTCCTTGTGTCAAATGTTGACTGTTCTGCCGTGTGCTCTGTTTTCCCTGTTCTGGATTATTCCCTGTGTTTGTGGGTCACCTTGTGTTTGATGGATTTACCTCAGTTTGGTCTTACCCTTGCGCTTCCACGTAAGCTTGTTTCCGTTTGGTTTTTGAGTTAATAAATCCTTTTGAACTGCATCCTCGCTTTTGGTCTGCGTTTGGGTCCACACCTCAGCCTTCACTCAGCCAACCCATGACAAAAAGTTAGTTAGGTTTACGAGGAGATCATTGTTTGGGTTAAAATTATTAGGTAAGGTTGGGGGACCGTCATTGTCATGGTTAAATAATAAACAAGTTACTATTACTATTTTGGGGCACTTGTTGAAACGACTGATGATGCACTTAACGTTACCATAAATTGTAAGGATACTGGGCTGGTTTGGCATTAGCACTCAATGTACTGTGCAGCTTTACAATGAGATTGTTTAGACCACAGTCCAATGAGATATGTGTGTTTGGGTGATAAAGAGTCACACATAGATACACACATAATAACCACTAAACAATGAATATACAGTAAACAACTGCAAATCAGGCTTGAGGTCAATCTGCTATTACTTTACTTAATAAAGGATCATTTTAAGTCCTTTTCCGATGTAGTTGGTTGTAAAGGCTCTCATGTCCAAACATCACAAATATTAACACACACACACACATGACATTGACGAGCAGGAACTCCAACGTTGGGGGCCGATCCATTTGTC